TACATTTCTTTATGATAAGATTTTTTGCTTTCCCATGGACGCCTTAAAAAAAAGATTTTTTATTTTTTTTCTATTAATTCAAGAAAATATTTGGTGGCTGCTGTATGCCAGGCACTGTTCTGAGATCTGGGGTAAACAATAATCAACAAAAGACAAAGTTCCAGCCCTCAAGGAGCTTATATTCTAATGCAAGACAATAAACAATTTATTGTATTTTAGGTGTAAGTTTTGAGAATAAAAATAAAGCATGGTGAGGGTTGGAAAGGAAGAAAAAAAAGCATGGTATGGGGACTAGAGTGACAAGGAGGTCCTAATTTATGTGGGATAGGCAGAGAAAACATATCTGAGGAAGTGACATTAGAACAAAGACTTGAGTAAGTAAGGGAGCCAGGTAGATATCAAAGTGAAGAACTTAAAAGTGGAATTAGCAAGTGCAAAGGCCCTGAGGCTGAAATATTCCTGACTTGTGTGGAAAAACAGCAGGGAGGTCAGTGTGACAGGACCACAGTGAAGAAGAATGGTAGGAGATGGAAGTGGGCAGGAGGCAGTTCTTTTAAGGCTTTCTGGACGTTGTAAAGACTTTGAGTTTGACTTGAGTGACATGGAAAGCTATTGGCAGTTTCAGAGAAGAGTCAGAATTTTTTTTTTTTTTTTTTTTGAGACAGGGTTTCGATCTTGTTGCCCAGGCTGGAGTGCAATGGTACGATCTCAGCTCACTACAACCTCTGCCTCCTGGGTTTAAGTGATTCTCTTGCCTCAGCCTCCCAAGTAGGTGGGATTACAGGCATATGCCACCATGCCTAGCTAATTTTGTGTTTTTAGTAGAGAAGCATTTTTACCACGTTAGTCAGGCTGGTCTCAAACTCCTGACCTCAGAGGATCTGCCTGCCTCGGTCTTCCAAAGTTCTGGGATTTCAGGTGTGAGCCACCGCATCCAGTCTGACTTACATTTTAAAAGTGTCACATAGGATACTGTACTTAGGCAATTACTCTATTAATCATGTATTAATTTGAGAAATGGGAGCAAGTATCCTGTAGTGTGGTTCACAGATGGGCTTCAGGAAGGTCATTGAGCTTTCTGTATAGATGCAAACTTATGTTTGTGTGTACACGGATGCATTTTTTTTTTCTTCATCATTTGACTTGACCTTTTTTTTTTTTTTGAAATGGAGTCCCACCATGTGGCCCAGGCAGGAGTTTGGTAGGCCAGTCTTGGCTCACCACAGCCTCCGCCTCCTGGATTCAAGTGATTCTCTTGCCTCAGCCTCCCAAGTAGCTGGGATTACAGGTGCACACCACCACCCAGCTAATTTTTGTATTTTTAGTAGTAGAAATGGGGTTTCACCATGTTGGCCAGGCTGCTCTCAAACTCCTCAGCTCAGTCTGCCTGTCTCGGCCTCCCAAAGTGCTGGGATTACAGGCATGAACCACTGTGCCTGGCCCATGGGTAGATTTTTAAAAGGAGAGCTAGCTGCCAACAGGTTATTTTTTAACTAAGTCTGAACTGAACAGAAGATTTTTTTTTTAATTATTTGAAATTTTAAAATAAATTTTTAAAAAATTATTTTAAAACAAAAAGTTTTGAGGCTGGACATGGTGGCTCACGCCTATAATCCCAGCACTTTGGGAGGCGGAGGCGGGTGGATCACAAGGTCAAGAGATTTAGATCATCCTGATCAACAAGGTGAAACCCCGTCTCTACTAGAAAACACAAAAATTACCTGGGCATGGTGGTGCGCGCCTGTAGTCACAGATACTCGGGAGGCTGGGGCAGGAGAATCGCTTGAACCCAGGAGGTGGAGGTTGTAGTAAGTCGAGAGTGCGCCATTGCATTCCAGCCTTGGTAATAAGAGCAAAACTCCAAAATAAAATAAAATAAATAAATAAATAAATAAACAAAAACAAAAAGTTTTATAAAAAATTATTGAGATATCCATATACCATACAATTTATTTAAACAAATACTTCATTTGTTTTTAGTATATTCACAGAGTTGTACGTAAAACAGCATAATAAATTTTAGAATATTTTCAATATGCCAGAAAGAAACCCCACACCCCTTATTCATCACTCCTAATCACTCCTCAGCCCCTGGCAACCACTAAAACAGCCTGGCCATTATGGTGAAACCCCGTCTCTACTAAAAATACAAACATTAGCCAGGTGTGGTGGTGGATACCTGTAGTCGCAGCTACTGGGAAGTCTGAGCCAGGAGGAGGTGGAGGTTATAGTGAGCCGAGATCATGCCACCATACTCCAGCCCAGAAGACAGAGCAAAGCTCTCTCTCAAAATAAATAACATAAAGTAAAATCGTAGTTTTCTGACAAGCTTTATTTACTTAGCATAATGTTTTCAAGGTTCATCCATATTGTATCTCATATCAGTATTTCACTTCTTTTTTCACTGTCTTGGCCAGGCTGGCCTTGAACTCCTGATCTTGTGATTCACCCACCTCAGCCTCCCAAAGTGCTGGGATTACAGGCGTGAGTCACTGCACCTGGCCTTCACTTCTTTTTATTGCCAAATAATATTTCTTATACATTAAAAGAAAATTTTTTTTTTGAGACAGGGTCTTTCTCTGTCACCCAGGCTGGAATGCAGTGACAGAATCACAGTTCACTATAGCCTGGACCTCCTAGGCTCAAGGAGTCCTCCCACCTTAGCCTCCCAGGTGGTAAGGACTATAGGCATGTGCCACAACAGCTAGCTAATTTTTAAATATTTTTTGTAGAGACAATGTCTAGTTATGTTGCCGAGACTGGTCTCAAACTACTGGGCTCGAGCAATCCACTTGCCTCGGCTTCCCAAAGTGCTGGGATTACAGGCGTGAGTCACCACAACCAGGCACCAAAATAATATTCCACTGTATGGATATACTACATTTTATTTATCCATTCATCATTTGATGGACATTTGGGTTGTTTCTACTTTTTGGCTATTGTGAATAATGCTACTTTTAACATTCATGGACAAATTTTTGTCTGGACATTTTTGTTTCTTTTGGATAGTTACCTAGGAGTGAAATTGCTAGATCATTTGGTAACTCTGTGTTTAACTTTTTTGAGGAATGACCAGACTTTGTTTCCAAAGCTGCTGCACCATTTTACATTTCTACCAGAAGTCTGTGAGGGTTCCAATTTCTTCACATCCTTGCCAACACTTATCTGTAATTTTGATTATAGCCATCCTGGTGGGTATGAAGTGGTATCTTTTTGTGGTTTTGATTTGCATTTCTCTGATAGCTAATGATGTTGAACATTTCTATGAGCTTACTAGTCATTTGTATAACTTCTTTGGAGAAATATCTATTTAGATCCTTTGCCTTTTGAGACAGTCTCACTTTGTAGCCCAGGCTGGAGTGCAGTGGCACGATCTCAGCTCACTGCAACCTCTGCCTCCTAGGATCTCAAGCGATCCTCCCACCATAGCCTTCTGAGTAACTGGGACTACAGGGATGTACCACCATGCCCAACTCATTTTTTTTTTTTTAAGAGATGAGGTCTTGCTATGTTCCCCAAGCTGGTCTTGAACTCCTGGACTCAAGCAATGTCTTCCTCGGCCTCCTGAAGTACTGGAATTACAGGCATGAGCCACCACATCCAGCTTTAATTTTTGTATTTTGTGTAGAGACAGTTTCTCACTATGTTGCCCAGGCTGGTCTCTAACTCCTAGGCTAAAGCAATCTGTCCTCCTCAGCCTACCTCAGTGCTGGGATTACAGGCATGAGCCACTGTGCCCAAACCTTTTCCTATTTTTTAATTGAATTGTAATAATTATTTTTATAATTGAGCTGTAAGAATTATATATGTATAAGCAGATTATTTAAAGGGACCATGAGAACAATAAGAAAAAAAATGAGGATAAGAACTTGTGGCCAGACATGGTGGCTCACTCCTGTAATACCAGCACTTTTGGAGGCCAAGGCAGGCAGATCACTTGAGCCCAGGAGTTAGAGACCAGCCTGGGCAACAAGGCAAAACCCTACCTCTACAGAAAAATACACAAAATTGGCTGGGCATGGTGGCACATGTCTGTAGTTCCAGCTACCCGGGAGGGTGAGGTGAGAGGATCAGCTGAGACTAGGAGGTCGAGGCTGCAGGAAGCTAAAATAGGAGGATAGCTTGAGCCCAGGAGTTCCATGCTGCATTGAGCTGTGATCTGCACTCCAGCCTGGGGGACGGCATGAGACTGTCTCAAAAACAAAACAAAACAAAACAAAACAAAAGCTTTTGCTCTGGAAGTTTGAAGAGGTCATTAGGAGTTTTCATCAATAGAAAATTCAGCTTTTGCCGGGCGCAGTGGCTCAAGCCTGTAATCCCAGCACTTTGGGAGGCCGAGGCGGGTGGATCACGAGGTCAAGAGATCGAGACCATCCTGGTCAACATGGTGAAACCCCGTCTCTACTAA